TGACATCATCATCGTTATCATCGTCATTATCGTCATCATCACCACTCACTGAATTGATATCATCATCATCATTACTATCATCATCAACACCATCATCATCATCACTCATTGAATAGATATCATCATCATCATCATCATCATTAACATCATCATCATCATGATTATTAACATCATCATCATCATCATTAACATCATCATCATCATAACTCACTGAATTGTAATACGTGCAGATCGGATAGATCGACAAGTAGTTCATCAGTTGGGAGGACGAACGGTTGAAGGGACATGGGCAATGGCCTTAATAGGGAAGAGGGCCTGCCATTATCATCATCATCACCATCATCATCACCATCATCATAAAGTTATAATCATCATTATTCTTTCCATCATAACATCATCACCATGACGTCACCGTTAATTACGTCATCATTGTCATTACCTACGATACCCATCATCTTACTAACCACAGTCCCGATCACATTTGCAATGAATGCCATCTTCTGAATCAATATTAACACCAGTCACATCGCAATCTTCATCATCATTCTCATCATCATCCTCATCCTCATCACCATCACCATTATTTAACCAAACCTCCTAACTAACCTCGTCCCTCCAAACAAGAACACCCTGCTACCCCCAGTGGCACCACCACGACGATCGCCACCACCGGCGTCGTCGTCCACTACGCAGCAGCAGTGTCTTCTTCTTACGCCTGGCCCCCTCCCGTAAACCCTGACACTCACCCACCAATTACTCTCTGCAATAATGTCATAATAGTTATTATTATTATTACTCTCTGCAATAATGCCATAATAATTATTAATTATTATTATTATTATTATTATTACTATTACTATACACACGTACACACGCACGCACGCACGTTACTGCTCGCCTCTCCTACCTAAGTTAAATTTGTGCATGTCAGCAAAATGGACATCCTGCAGGCTGTTGTAGCCGCCGAATATGTACATCTCATCTCTGTAGACGACTGTTTGTGGTGGCGATGAAGAAGATGACGATGATAGCAACGATGACGAAACGGTGATGATGAGTATGGTGAAGAAGATGACGATTTCTTCGAGTTATTTTAGCCTTGTATGCTGAGTTGTTTATGTTAGTTAGAGAGAATAATGAGTAATGATGCAGCCAACGACACTGTTGAAAACGTAAAAACAATTTGTAACAAATAACAAAGAAATTTAATTTCTTATTTTTTTTTTCTCCAAGCCCTCCTTTGAAATGCAAAAACTCACAGGCAGTATGACTCCTCCTGCCATAAGGTACGTAACCTTTGACCTTTGGTTGCGTCCAGACGTTGGTGGTAGTGTCAAAGGTCACCAACTTATTGCAGTAGACCTCGGAGTTCGTGTGGAACTGACCGGCCTCGTCACTACGACCTCCGAAAATCAGGATGAAGTTTTTGATGACAGACGACGTGTGGAAGTCTCTCCAGATTGGCGGCGTGCCCTGAGCGTGTGTGTGGTGTGTGTGTGTGTGTGTGTGTAGGAGGGTGTGTAGTGTGTGTGTGCGTGTTGTGTACAAAGTAGTGTGCGTGTGTTGTGTATGTGTAGGAATGTGTGTGTGTAAGAATGTGTGTGTAAGAATGTGTGTGTGTGTGTGTGTGTGTGAGTGAGAATGTGTAGGAGTGTGTGAGTATACTGCGTATATTAAAATATGTGGTGTTTGTGAGTCAATATGCTGTTGTGTTGTATGTGATCCGAGTAAAAATTTTCTGAAAAATTTTTCTGAAACGAAACTTGGTGATCAGCTCATCATAGTTATTAATCTTAATCATCATCGTAATCGTCATCATCAACACCATCGTCAATATCGTCAACATCATCATCATCATCAATACAAACCGTGGTGGAGAGCAGTGACCACTGTGATAACCGGAAATCAAATGTGTACATGTCGTTTGAAAACCTCTGAAGCTGATGGTCATAATAATATAATATAATAATAATTATGAAAAATAAATAAAAATACCAAAGAACATAAAACATTGATATCATCAGAATGCACACACACAAACACACAATCACACACACACACAAACACAGATATCATCAGAATGCACCCACACAAACACACACACACACAAACAAACAAAGACACTCAACCATCGATATACTGACAGCATCTTCATATCCTCCAAACAGGTACATCTTATCGTTGAGAACGCTCGCGGAATGACCATCTCTGGCCCCAGGGACCTCACCCTTTGTGCTCACCCTACTCCATCTTAGTGTTTCTAATCAATGAATAATCATAAACACAAAAATGTTGGTTAAAAATCATTACAAAAGTTCAAGAACGATGTAGATGGAAGTATACAAACAAACAAACAAACAAACAAACAAACAAACAAACAAACAAACAAACAAACAAACAAACAAACAAACAAACAAACAAACAAACAAACAAACAAACAAACAAACAAACAAACAAACAAACAAACAAACAAACCAAACGAATGAATGAACAAACAAACCAACAATTAAAGAAAAAGCAGAGAAACGAACCAGGATCAAAGCAGAACAATTTATTGCACGCTCCATTTCGATCGTTACGACCGCCAAATATGTAGGCCCTATCTCTCCAGTTGACAGCTGTGTGGCCGTACCTATGGAATGGTACCTCCTCAAATAAATGATCCGTGTTGGAATCGTCATCGTCAATTTTTCTCTGATGTCTGGTAGTCGAGTTTTTTCTGGTAGTCTGGTAGTCGAGTTCATTGAATGTCTGAACCAGTGTCCATCTGTATGTGTCTATAGGAAGGATTATCGTCATCACCACTTTGTAATCATCGCCATCATCATCATCACCATCATCATCATTATCAAAATATTATAGCCCACATTCCATTATAACAATATGTTCACGATTATAAGTGACTGTATTATCCATACACACAAACACCCATACACACACACACGTAACATACATACAATGCCTATCATATGCAATGTGTATGAAACATACCACTGAAGCAAGATTAAAAGAGAGAATGACCTTTAACCTTTCTAACTCGTTGACAAATGTATGATAATAAAATAATGTAAGAGTAGCATATATACATATATTTAGGGCATGAATGTCTATCGGCTTTGCCACTTCAAAATTTCCTCCAGTGCAGTAGCCGCCAAAACTGAAAATGTGACTTTTGATGAAAACGGCTGCATGGTTAACCCTTCTTGGGCCCCCTTCCAAATGAGCAATCCAATGAGTCATTGCTTCTGAGTTGACTGCATAATTACAATTAAATATTTTTTTTATTAAATAATAAAACTAAATATTTATTATATTATTATAATGAATTGATCATAGAGCATGGTCATTTACTTTTTTCAAATATCTCTTGTCATTAATCTTATCAGATCATAAAACCAATCAATGATCATGTGAGTTATTCATATTCAATACCACTGTTAATGATTTTTTTTCAATTAATTTTAATGATTTTTAATTAATAATTAATTTTTAAACTTTTTTTAATTTGCCACCAAAATTCAATACTTCAATTCTATAGCATCAGGCTTATAAGTATGAAACAAAATAGAATATTAAAAAATTGAATTTTATTTATTTATTCATAAAATAATAATTAATAAACAACACCCCACTAACTTGCTTGCTTTGCTTGTTAAAAGAAATGTTTTTGAAACAGCTGACTGATTGATTGCCCTGCTGATATAAAAATTATAAATGAATATTACTAGCCTGATTTATTTTTAGCACTTTAGTAGGATATCACACAGTACAGATCGATGAACTTTAGATAAAACAATTAACTGAAATGATTTTCCAAAAATAATTATTCGTCTTCCCCTGGCAGAGTAAATTTCAAAAGACAACTCAGTGTACGTTTACTTTTAAAACTTATTAGCTTTATTTAAGTTTAATGTTAGAATGTCGCTATTTTTTTTAGAAAAGCGTAGCAACATTATAAAAAAATTAAATTATAATGCATTTAAAATTTTTAAAACTAAAAATATTTGAGGTTAATAAAAATTAACATTAAACAAATTAAATTAATATTAAAAATTTTTATTACTGTTTAGTTTAATTATCCGAATAAGACAAGTGAATTGTAGTTCGAAAAACAGTGGTTATCGAAGGTGAACTATCTATCTATATTCAATGTAGTTCTGCTAATCATGGAGTTTATTTTCCACGAAAAAGTGAGCAACAAAATTTAATTTTTTAATTTTCATCGTATTCAAAATTTTGTCGTTTGGTTTATTTAACTTTCTTAATTTTTTACTTATATTCTATGTAATCTGTAAGAGGGTAGTAGAGTAAACTGTAAGTAATAATTGTAAGTGTAATTTGTAATATCAATTACTAATATCAATATGTATTAGTATTGTAATGTAATGTAATGGTAATCTGTACTAATCAGTAAAGTAATGTAATGATGTAAATTTAAATGTTAGTGTAATTTGTGTAAATTGTTAGTAAGTAAGTTAAAGTAAACTCATATAGTGTAATTTTAATTTATTTTAATTTAAATGATTAAATTAAATTTTAATCTGTGATAAACATGAAATTTAACAAGTGGGAACATTTTTTTATTAATTTAATTTTTAATAATAATAAGACTTAGATTTTAAATGATTTTTTTAATTTAACTTTGTCACCAACTAAGCAATCTGGTTCTTTATGTGCTCAACACTGCCTCAATGCTCTCCTGCAAGGTCCTTACTACACAGTTTTTGACTTGGCAGAAATAGCAAGATCTCTAGATGAATCAGAGAGACATCACATGGCAGAGAGGGGTTTTTTCACTCATGAATATCAGGAATTTTTAAAGCAGCCATCATCCAATTTTGATGATAGCGGATTTTTTTCTATACAAGTTATTGTAAAAGCACTTGAAGTCTTAAATCTGGAATTGCTGCCCATCACAAGCTCAGATGTATACTGCAGACAAGCCAGGGAACATCCAAGGTTCAAAATCTTTTTGCTATTTTGTTTACACTTACATTAAAAGTGGGATCTATATAAATTAAATATATAGAATAGGCTTTTTCATGTTTTAATAAATTAATTCAATTTTAAATGTTAACTTCCTAGTCAGCAAGTGGCTTTCATCTGCAACTTTCGACAACATTGGTTCACAGTTCGAAAGATTGGGCTTCAGTGGTTTAACCTAAACTCAGTTTTATCCTTTCCTGAATTGATATCTGACACTTACCTCAGTTTGTTTTTGAAACAACTGCAAGTGGAAGGTCCCTTTCCATTTATTCCCATGTCTTTTTGATGATAGGATTGTTGAAAGTTTAATGGAAGTAGTTATGTAACTTTTTCTTATGTTATGTAGTTATGTAGGGACAATATGTGTTGATCTTTTCAAATACATCTAGAGATTAAGTAATGAATAAAATAAATAGTAATGCTATTTTTTAATAACAAAGTTTTATCACTGTTATCAACAGTTCACATGCTGCAGTTAAATATAGTTGGTCATTAATGTTTATAAAATTAATATCATAGCATACGACCTGTCATACTGCTGATTAACTCTTCAGCTATTTGATGAGTTTGTGCATGAATTTCTCTAGGGGAATTTCAAATGAAACATTCTCATAATGCCAGATTATTTCTTGAGCAGCTTTCAACAGCCCTGTTTATTTCATTTCATAATTTTCAAACCCATAATCTTAATTTATTTTTCATCAATTTGCTTTTATAATAGCTTGTGCTGATATCTTCCCTCAACTCCAAAATAATAGGTTACTCGATATTCGTACTGAGAGGTGAGCTACCTGCTTGTGAGGCAGACGACATTTTGAAGGTGAATCCCGTCGTACAGACAGTGAAGCCGACAGTGAACAACTCCACCCTGACCTCCTCACCGACCACTTTAACGAATGATGACCCCGAATTGAAGTGGGTCATGGAGGAGAGCAAGAAGATGTTTGATGACGACGACGAAGCTCTCAACCATGCTCTGCAACTCAGTGCTTCAGGTTACACACACGCGCGCACACGCACATACACGAATAGACAAACACACATTGCACAAGCAAACAAGATTGTAATGGCCTAGCAATTCGTTATATAAGATATGCTTTTTCATTCCGCCTCAAATGATTTCTGTTTTTATTACTTTCAACTTAATCGTTGTGTTACATACTTTATATTTTTTGCATTATTTAGAATTGCTCATAATATCTTTTGAAAAGTGAATGGTTAGGCATTTATTTGTTTATTTATGTATATGTATACATTTGTCTTTTTGCAATAACCATGGTATGTACATTTTGTCTCAAAGTTGTGCATTCAAATAAACGTTACAGAAATGTATGAAAGCGATCATATTGCTTCATATTGGTCACGAACATCTGCAACAACAACGGCGACGGCGACTGCCTCAGCAACCTCTGTTACATCTGCATCAGAAATGACTGATACACAGCCAACAACAAGTACAACGTCTGCTGGAGCCGACATCCAGCTAGCACCAATTGCTACAGATACGTCAACAGCAACATCTGAAACTCAACATGTGACTAGTGTAGCAACGACATCTGCCATGCAACCACCACCAACTACATCAACAACAACTACATTAACAACAACACAATCAGAATCACCCTCGCCAACATTATCACCATCTTCATCTAACGCTGAAGAGATAAGAAAAAAATGATTGATCAAGCACTCCGACCAATTACCCTCCAAAGATAAAGAAACATCAGGAGAAAAATAAACAAGCACTTGAATAAAAGATATTTTTATTTCTTGCACTTCTAGCAAATTTTGTCACTTTGAATTCATTTTTTCTCATTGTACTTATTTTTCTCAAGAAAATAAAATTTTCTATTTTGGATAAGAAATATATATACATATATAGAATAAACTTTCAATTTTTCACTCCTAACACGAGTTTAAATTAATTTAAACTTTTTTCCACTCACAACGGCAACAATCTAATGTATCGTATTTACATTAAAATAGATGAAGAATCTCTGATTCCATAGGAACTTAGAAATTTTTGATCAGGTATGTCATCATGTGATCATACAAAAGGGCCTGACCATGGCCATCAATGGCGGAACCCTGGTGTGTGCCCTACTCTCTGGTCTGGTTACATTTGATTTGACCTAGGATGCAGCCTTTAAACGCTTGTGATGACGACACTCTTACATTATCTATTTATTTCTCCCTTTTTTTTAAATATTTTCACATTTTTATATCAGTCTTCCATTGTTGCCATTGTCTTCTAATAATATCGTCACTTTCTTTATTACGTCATCTGACGTCATTATTATTATTATTATTATAGATGAACATAGCCACCTAGCAACGTCATCATTGTTATTATTTCATCACCTTACATCAGCATCAATATCACCTGGAAAGTTCATCGTATTAGAAAAATTAAGATGATCCAATATCCAGTTTTTACATATTGCGTCTGCTGCGTTGCTTTCTAATACTGTCTCAATTTATTTGGCTCCGGATTCGCCTACTATGTTCGTTGTTTCATTTTGTGATTACAAATATCTCTCTTACAACAATCAATTAATTTTTTTAATTTTATTATTTATTGTTGTTGAAGTGTTGGTATGTATGTTTCGTATTTTATTTCTTTTATCTTTTTTTTTCGTTATATTATATAAATATGCACTGGTGATTCGAGCGTTAATTTCATATTATTAAACAATTATTATCTATTTTAATCTCACTGATTAGATGAATATATTCGAACGAACAGCAGACTAGCGAGTTACGGTTAAACATTACACACGTTGTTAAACTAAAGTAATTATCAAATAAAACTAAACATTTTATGTATGGAGTTTAGTACTAGAGCCTTTATAATTGATCTATAACATGTTGTATTTCCAATCATAAAATGTATTTGCTGTCGCGAATGTTGTTGGATTTTGTAGAAAATATTAGTATTAAGTATTACTACTAATGACATTATTGTAAATTTTAGTATTTTTTCATAATTTGGAATGAGTAATTTCTTATTCATGAATAACTCCAATATTGTTTTTATTTACCAATTATTCTTGAATTTGTATATGCTGGATATTATTTTTATTTATTTATTAATTACAGTTTTTCTAATTGCTAAAATTGAATTTATTAATATGATTATACAAGGATGAAGTTTGTATACATGTTTGTTAATGTTGTTGGTGTATTCCTTGTGTAATTTCTGTTATTTGATTCAGCCATGTATTTGTTTCTTGAAGTTTGTTGGTTAGGAAAAATTGTACATATCCTAGGTTCAAAAAATTGCAAGCCTTATTTATTCAATCAGTCAATCAATCGACCATTCATTTAGCCAATCAATCAATCAATCAGCCAATCAATCAGCCAATCAATCAATCAGCCAGTGAGAGAATGAGATGAAGAAAGAGAAGTTAGGAGAAGAATTTCATGAACAAGGAATTAAAGACATGAAAGCACACTTAGCAAGAGCGGTTAACTTAGATAATATGGGTTCATAATTAAAATATTATAATCGTAATACCAATAAATTATAATATTATAATTATAATAGTAGTATATTAACATAATAAAAATTGCAATCATTAACTTTAAGATCTTAAGTATTTTAGGAAGCAATGTTTCAACGTGTAAGGTATTGTTGAATGGTGTGGTAATAAGAAATGAAAGACTTGTTTATTTTTAACCATAGACAAAAATAAAGTAACCGAAAAATAAACATTAAATAAATGAAACAGAATGGTGCGTAATTTTACAGTTTAATAAATAGATAAGTAACTATAAGTGATGTACTAAAAATAGTAAATAAAAACCGGACAGAACCATAAGAAAACAATGTACAGATAGCATTTTCAAACATGAAACACAATGTCATAATATATTACATGCCATCATTAGTATAATTAAATGAACCAACCAACTATTCATATAAACAAATAATAGTAATAATAATAATAGTAATAATAACAATAATATTTAAATACTAAGGTGTTAAGAGGTTAACGAAACTAGCATTTCTTAAATTATTTCTAACTAAAACATTTGAACCATTTTTCCTAGTAAGACCAATCATATTGCTTAATCTCGTCAGCCAGAAGAATGTTGATAGTTTCAGTAAAGTCCAGTACTGGCTGATCATCTTGTGAACTTTGCACTTGAAACTGATGCATGACTTAATCTGTTGAAATGGATTTATCATGAGTTTATCTCATTTATTTATCGCTATATTTCACATGAAATATGTAAAATTTATAACATTCATGTTTTTTTATTTATGATTGTTATAATTATACTTATCGTTATAATAATATTTATAATTTGCGATCTATGGTATGATTATAATTCGAGATTTACATAGGCACCGACGTCATTCTTGGCCAGTGCATTGACACAGGATTTGAACATAACAAAGAAGGCAGAGGCATCGGACCGGCAGTTCAAACTTCGTTCGATTCCTCTGATGAGGTCGTTGGTCTTGAGGACGAGCAGCAGCGGTCGGGGAATGTTGTTGAGGATGATCGAGATGTCAGTCAGGTAGGTCGTGGCCGATCTTCGAATTATTTCGTCCTTAGGCGACGTGCGTTGATGACGGTTTGGTTGGGGTTTAGTTAATTTTAACATATTTTCCCTTAAAAATAGATTGGTAAATGGTATTAGATATATATCGAGAATAGAATTTCACAGAATATGCTGCAATTACGCCTCTAGACTTGGGTTGATGGTGGTTTGCTGTTTGTAAACAGCAGTTACGATATATTTTTTGATAAAATTAAATAAAATTTTTAATATATTAAATTCTTAAACAAAAGAAAGTAAGAGTAGAAAGTTTTCATCATGCTGATGATAAATACTACTTTAGATATGCATACACACTAACAACAACACCATTAACAGACAAGCACATAAGCTACTTTATATTTGAAAAAAACCTCGTCATCCGTATATTCCTCATCCAATCCTTTCTTGATAGTCTGCCAGGACCTGGACGTCAGTATGCAGACCAATAGGGGGTACTTTTCCCTGATGCCCAACATCTCAGCTGCCCCCTTCATGCCCTCCACATCCTTGTTAAAGATACTCGTCCACATCTTGCAGTAGGCCAGTCTAATGTCCTCTGGTAGTTCCTGGTGGTTGGTCAGTTTGTGAGTTTTGGGTGTAGATTCAATTTTGGGTTGTAGGTTGAGTGTTTGGTTAGCTAATTAATATAGCATAAAAATTGTTTTGATTGAAAATAATTAATTAACCTGATAGAGTCCGTGATCAAGTAACTTGATGACAGGTTGGCTGTTTTCATTGACCACCAGAATGTTGCCTGGATGTGGATCACAATGTATGTAGCCCTTCTCAAATATCATCTCACTGTACAATTTGCCCAATTCCAACATCACCTTTCAATTCAATGTAGTTACATATCAATGAAAAACTAAAAAAACTTATGGCAGATGGCGTTTTAAAAAATAATTTCAAATAAAGAAACGACAGAAACAAAAGAAAGATGTGATAAATTAAATAGCTATAAAAAGAAACTTTACAAATATAAAAATTTAGCAAATGCCAACAACCGTTCAGCAAACCAACTCAGCCAACACAAAACACTACATACCTTTTTAACATCAATGTTGTTATCTTGATAATATTTACGATCGTTTATGAAACCACCTTCACAGAACTCCATGGTGATGACCTTCGGTGAGGTCCATTTTCTGTAGACTTTGGGAATCTATCTGGGTTGGAAAATGTTCATTCAGATGGAAATACAAGTCATGTGTCTCTGTTTAAAAAAACAACAGAGAACTAATAATTTAATCAACTTTTCTGACAATCAAGATCAATCAACTAACAACCTAATGAGCAAACTAATCTGTTCAAAAACTGATCAATGAATCAAATCAATAAATTAGCTAACTAATTATTTAACCAATCAATCAATGAACTAACCAACCGGCTAATCAATCAACCAACCACAACATAGACACAACCATATCATATCTTGGAGACCTTAACAAACTTGAACTTCTTAAACATCTCCTGCGCTCTCTCATTGTTACCAGCTTCATGCACAAAGTCCAACTCCAGAGGTAGGTTCTTTTTTGTTTCATCAGCCAACCACTGTAGATCTAATGACGGAAATATCTTGGATACCTGTGTGCCGTCATCATCATCTTCATCATCGTCCTGTCACTTCACTCACCAACATCATCAGTCTATCACCATAATTATTCATTATTCATTCATTTATGAATATTCATTCGTTAGAGAGCCAACTAACCAAGCAGCCAATCAACAGGCAGCTAACCCATTTAAAAAGTAATTCCATAGTAAAGATGTCGACGTGGGAGTTCTGCATGACGGTTGGGTGTTGAATCTTCACCACGACCTCCTCACCACTCACCAATTTAGCCTTGTGTACCTGGGCAAGTGAAGCAGATGCAAGTGGCTGGGGGTCGAACTCCCTGAAAACTTCCGTCACCTATTTTTTATGTGGATAAGATGAATAAAAATTAATTGAATTTAAAACCAAACTTTATTTTACAATTAAAAATTACTATTATAATTTAAAAGTAAAATCCCATGGATTTTTATAGATCAATTATTTTGATTCCACAATTCTTACTAAAAAAAAAATAAAAACTAACTTCTCTGCCAAACTCTTGTCTAAAGACATTGCATATTTCCTCTGTGGTGGATAGTGGTGCTTTATTGTGCAGCACCTCATTTTAAAAAAATTAAAATTTATGTAATTGTATAAATTCAAAAATCCATAATAATATGATTTTTACCAAATGTATAAACCCCAAATGTATGAACCCAAAAACATTTTATTAACAAACAAAAAACATAGATAAATAATATGGGGTAAATAAACATTTCATTAAAAAAAAAACAAATATTGAAAGAACTTTAATTTACTTTCATGACTTGGACATATTCATTAGGGATCAAATAGTCTAAAACGCCCAAGTGCTGTCCAACTTTGATGTAGCAACCACTGTTTTTGTAACATAATTCTCTCAATCTCGTGGCTGATCTAGTATGTACCTTAAGTAATTTTTAAGAAAATATAGATTATTGAAAGGCTTATTGTAAAAAACTAATTTCAAAATTTACGACTCAAATTTTGAATAAATTAATTTTGAATAAAATAAAAAAACAATTCACCAGTAAATTTAAAAATTTAAATAACAACCTGAGACAACTTAGATTGGTATCCTTCCAATGAAACATCCTCTCCATGCAGTGAATATTTGTAATCCAGTACAATCAAACCGATCTTTGAATTTACAACATTAATCATACATAATTAATAGTTGGTCATTACTCATTATGATCTATAAGTATAAATAATTATATATAAGAATCAAATTATTATAATATAAATAAATAAAAATAGGGAATAAATTTTAAATTGTGGGTTTAATAAACTAAACTGTTAACAGACTTTTTTAAAAACAAAAATAAATAAATTAAATTAAAGATTAAAGTTAAAGAAAATGTAAGATTAAACTTGCATTTTAAAATAAACCTCTACTAAGTCTGAGTGCCTTTTAAGATTTTTAATTTATTTATATATTTAAAAAGTTTTAAATAAATCTAAATAAATAAGTAATATAAATCTATAAAAAATTACAAAAAAATTTGAAAAAAATAAAATAAAAATTTGTCAAGGAGCGGCACTAACGGTGAAAGCTGTCCTTCCTAATCTTAGAGCCCCAGTGGTATAGAACCAGAGATTTCTTCTTGACGTATTTTTTTCTTTTTCTTCCAGCCCTGAATTTTCATTTTTTAACAGTGCAAAACTAACTGAAGCTGAAGCAAATGTCGTTAACGAAAATCCAGTAACCACCTTCTTGACCAATAAACCTTTCCTCATAATATAAATAAATATTTCAATAAATTTATAATATATGATATCGTATATAAAAATAACGTTTAAAGTACTTAAACTTTAAGTTTAACTTTAAGTCTTAAAGTTAATGTAATGTTTAAAAGTTAAACTTTATTAACTCCAGCCGAATGTGAACTACATCGTCGTTGATGAGTCATCTTACAAAACTTCTCTTGAAAATTCAGAACGCGGAGTCGGAGTTGGGATTCGGAGTCGGAAATTTTTACCAGAAGTCGGAGTTGGATTTTTTTGAAGGACAGAGTCGGAGTTGGGTTTTTTGAGGGGCCGTAGTCGGAGTTGGGTTTTTTGAAGGGCCGGAGTCGGATATTTATCATCCAACTCATCTGACTCATCCGATTGTAAGTATAGGATTTTACCAAAAGTATTCTTACCAATTTTTGGTCAGATTTTTTATTAGTTTGAAATCGTTCGTAAAAATTGACGGGCATTTAAAATTTAAATGAACAAAAACAAAATATTTTATTAGTTAGATAGTTTTATTAGCATTACAAATTAGTTTTTCGTTTATCGATTGTGCATATCTACCACATACATTTACATCCAATTATGATAAACAATATGTATAGTACATATGTTTTTGAATGAATGAATGTATTTTTACTTTAAAAGTACAATTTTTCAGTACATTAACATGTTATTTTAACGAGTTATGCGTTTGTAAACAGAGGCAGACCTATCAACATGTCAAATTGATTAATCTGACAACAGCTAAAAGAGCAACAAAATAACAAAAATGCTCCTAATGTTAACATACATTATGCTTTTGATATGTCCTCTACGTTAACGCAAACCGTTACTATTAGATTACAATGTTAGTATGTAGCTTTTGTTAAATCCTGTTTAAATAAATCTTTTTTTCATCATAGATTTAAACATTCATATTTCCATTTTACAAACGAGCAGTAAGGCAATTTAGTTATACTAAAAAAATTAGGATAGTTACTGTTAAAACCAAAGAAGAAATGTTGACCTCGGTGTAGTCTTTACTTGATATTTTCCTGGTCCAGTCACCCATTCATTCATGGAAGTGATATAACGATACAACATAAGATTAACAAATATCGAGATCGTCAAGCCTCGGTTAAAATAGATCCTAAACTAATTAACTAACTAATTCTAAGTTTTTCAATAATAAGGTAAAAATTGAATGTTAATTTGATATAGATACTCTACATGCAGTCTTATTCGTTTTTTAATTAACTCGCTTATCAGGATATGTGATTATGTGATTATCAAGGGAAGATATCATTTTTTCTTTTAATGTTTTCTTTTTCTCCTTTAGAATCCCGTCAGTTCGGCGAACGTGGCATCCAATTCTCTGTTGATAACTTTGCATTTCTCCTTCTCGGCGATCAACTCGTCTTTAGAAGAAAAATAATTCTTTAGTTAGATGTTTGAGATATTAGTGACTAATCAATAAATTATCTATTAGATCATTTTTGATTAAAGTTTTATGCATATAATTTTTTCACAAATACAACAGCTAGGCAGAAGTTGGCATGTAAACATTTACTGAAAAGTTACAGATTATTCAACGCAATATACGCAATAAACTTATAAACAAATGTTTAACGATAATTCATTCAACCCTTCATTCAGCTGTTCCTTCCTTCATTTATTTTTCCATTCATTCACCATTCACCTTCCAGTTTATCAATCTCTCTCTGCAGTTTCTGAATATTATTTTCCGCTTCGGCGCATCTCTGCTCGGCCTGTCTCGTGCGTGCATTCGATCATCATTTATGTAAATGAGTTGGAAGTTATTATTAGTTTTAAATTCATTAAAATAAGTTACAAGCCATTACAATTTCAAGTTTGTCGTTTAGTAATCTGATGGTTTCTTCATAAGCATCTTCTTTCATCTCTGCCTAGTGAATGAATGAATGAACGAACGAACAAATGAATGAATGAACGAACGAACGAAAAAACGTATGAATGAACGAGCGAACGAAAAATTAATGAATGAATTAATGACGGACAAAAGAATGAATGAAAGAATGAATGAATGAATAAAATTATCTTCATGTTTTTCAAAAATTAGGAACGTTAGGAACGAATTGATTTTTTTATTCTTAAATTTTTCCAACAACATTGCTAAAATTGTATATAATCCAATATAGTCTGTTAATTTATGAAAAGTTATCACAACAGACCAGCATTTTTTATCAAATGTCAGTATGATCGGTCTATAGGAAGTTACCGAAAAGTAAATTACAAGATTTGAACTATAGAAAATTGTGAATTCATTATAAGTGTGGTAGTTCTACAGACGCAAAATGTTATCAGTAGTACACTACACAAAAATGCCGAACCACACACCTCTTGCTGAAAGATTTCTAAGGATTTTTTGTTGTTCGTTACTACTCTTAGCTCCTCCTCCAACTCCAGAATTTTTCTACCAAAAACGTGGAATTAATTAATTTTTTAAAATTTCATTATTATGTAAATAATATTAGCAAAACGATTAAAAGAATAACAGTAATTACTAATTTTAATTATAGTGATTAATAAAATAATTGATGATAAATATATTGATAAATGAAATGAACAGTGGTCCATCCAACTAACGCGTCTGCAGTTTCCAGGCCGGCTTCTGCTCTAGTCAGGTTGGCTTCCGTCATCAGCAGCTTTCTTGACACCTTGGAATGAGAATTTTTTGTTGGAAAGTTTAAAATTAATTTTGTTTTAAATAACTTGCTGAACAGTTCGAATTCACACGTTCAATCATTATGTTAAGATCAGAAATATAAACATGGAGACGTACAAACACATTCACATGCAAACTCACACAGACACAAAAAACCAGATTACGCAAACTCACACACAAACATACAAAAATACACACACACACAGACATACGGACAAAAACCTCTTCATATCTTCTATCTGAATCTTCTCCGACCAGGATAACATCCTCAATCTCATGCTCCAGCTGCTGAATCTTCTCGTCTTCCAATGTAAATCTGTTCTCTAACACCTTGATACCTCTGAAGAAAGTTATTACAAAATAAACTTTAATTTATTTATTAATTACCTTAAGTATTAAACAAAATTTAATAAACTTGCTGTGAAATAAGAAAAGAATTGTTTAAAAACATGCAATTATCATTTTTACATTATGTTAAGTTACGTTAAAGAGCAGCATTTTAACGGATAACCAACTATTTTTAACAAAATTGAATTAGTTACCAACTAGTTAATAGGCAAAAATATATGTAATAAATTTCATCATAACTATATTGAAACGGTAAAAATATGAGCGCGCTTCGAGTTCAAATGAACGTCACGTTTGATCAATGATAACTAAGTGATTCGAACATTCATCTTAATTTTCTAGATTCACCTTTAAAGATAGAAACAAATTTCTAAATATAGATAATTTCATAACAAATCATTCTGATTTATCGACTGATTAATTATTAAAGAATTTTATAGAAGCGAAAAAGAGATAGAGAGAGAGAAAGAGAAGAGAGAAAGAGAGAGAAAGTAAAAGAAAAAATGTTAGAACGGAAATTGGATAGATTGATGAAACGAAATATAGACAGGTCGATAAATTGATAGATAAATGGATAGATGGATGAATGGATGGATGGATGGATGGATGGATAGATGGATAGATGGATGGACGAAGAGAGTTATGAATGGATTGAAGGATGGATAAAGAGAAAAAAAGAAAAAAGACAGATAAAAAGAAAAAATAGAGAGATTGATTGATAGATAAAATATTGATAGAATAGATGGAATGATAGTTAGATAGATGAAGTAAGAGAAAAAAGAAAGAAAGAGAGGGAGAGAGAGAGGAGAGAGAGAGAGGAGAGAGAGAGAGAGATGAAACACCTTTATAAACAATGAATATGCGTTCTAATGCAACTAATATAGAATTTTGAAGTTCTTTCGTACAATAAATATAAATAATAATGATATCTTAATATCTTAATAATGATATCTTAATAATTTTTTTCATTCACTAAATGTTTTAGTAATTCCATAAAGATATTTCGTTTATGTTTCTCCCTAATATAAACAATTCATTTTTTAAACATTTTTTTCTTGTTTATGTTTGTTAAGCCGTTCGTTTACATTTGTATCGGCTTATGCCTTAGAGTGCTGTTTAAAGTAGAAATTTTCAGATGTTCTAAAATTAGAAAACTTTTTATTTACCTCTTTCTTTTTCCACAAAGGTTTTTAGAAGTTTCATCATAAAATAAAACACACACCCACTCATAAAATAAAACACATACCCACACACACACACACACACACACACACACACACACACACACACACACACACACACACACACACACACACACACACACACACACACACACAATCACAACACACACGCACATAACCACACATACACACAAACACATACACACACAGTATAAAGATGTGTGTGAGATTGTGCGAATGTGTGTTTATGTGCGTACATTTCGTGTTTCACAAGCAAGCATTGCATGCATGCCTGCAAAATGGAAGTATGTTTAAGATAAAGAGGTTTGTGTTTATAAGGCAGCGATAAGATTATTATTGAATCACAGAACTGCATTGATTTGTTTTTGTATATTATTTATTTGTTGCTTTTTTTCATGTTTTACGTTATTTATTTAATGTTTTTTATTAAAAAAAATTTGTTGAAAACTTTAACCTAGATTTCATTATAATAGTTATACGCTGCATGAAAATGGTGTGTATCGTTCATCTGGTATTGCAATTCATACCACTGGTGCAGCTGAAAATATTTTTGATTTTGTTAAACATTTTAGCCACAAATCATTGAACGAACATATCACTTCAAAGAACAATTTTAATAGTTCCAATTAGCTCCTCTTTCAGTGTTTTTCGAAAGTAATGAGGCTAGGTGATGTGATAGAGTTCAAGTGTTCAAGTACAGTTTGTAACATCTTGCATGTGCTTCGAGGCAACAACAAAATAATAATAATAATAATAATGAATTTTTTAAAAATTAGAAAAACGAGATATAAAAACATTTCGCACTGTTATTTCTCGATTTATTTTATAATTTTTATTAAATAAATAAATACATAAATAGATAGATAGGCTTCTTCGTATAATATTTCAGTGTTATTTGTTATGATTTGCTGACGTTATGTCAAGAAGGCAAGATTGATTGAGCTGAACAAGCAAAAAATAAATTGCATCTCTATTACATTTTTTCTTATAAATTATAATGATCTAATTAGATTGTATAGAAGAAGAGAGAAAGACAAATGTTTTTGAATGTGGAGCGTATTTGAGACATGAAAACATCGATTATGTAAGTAACAATAAAAAAAAAGCTTTTATTTATTATGAATTAATTCGCATCTAACTTATTTGCTAGATTAATTCACTTGAAAGATTTATATAGCAAAAATGATATTTACTAAGCTGGTTAATGGTGTAGAAACATATTGTTAACATTCTGTAGAGGACAACGTACATACGATCGAAAGGATCATTAAACAGTCATTAGATCAGATGCAACCAAGAAATGCATTTAAACCTGGCTAATGAGCAACATACAAAACATAAACAAATAGTTAGCATAAATAATATTTTAAGCAAACACATGCCACACAGTCAACGTACAATAATTTTGTGAGAATATTTTTATGCAAACATGAGTTGTATATAAAAACCACACACATACATACACACACATACACGCCGCGCTCACACACACACCACGTCACTGACCTTTCACTTTCGTCAGCAGCTTTGGTTGCTTCTTCAAGTTTTTCGTTGGCCGCCTTCAATCTACTTTCTGTATTCTCAAAATCTTCTTCCAACTTTCCAACTTTTTTTGCCAGAGTTTGAACTTCTGTTTCCGCCTGAAGGTTAATGTAAAATAATTTTTTTAAATAATTTAAAAATAATTTTTTCACGTTTGAAGCGAAAAGAATAAAAATAAACAGAACTGATGCCAAATTAGAATGAACAGTTTCCAATTTTTCCGTTTGATCTTTCAGTTGGACCCTCGTGTGCTCCAGATCAGATTCAAGTTGAACGATTCTCTTTTGCAAGTTTGAAATCTCCTCAGACGACTGTTTGCAACATTTTAAAATTTTTAACTGCTGTTGTTTTTTGTTCAATTGAAAATTATCCTGAATGCAAAACTAACAACATATTTTCTTCAACCTCATTTAGTTATTTCATATCAACAAAATTGTATAAAAACTTTTTCGTGGACAGTTTTCTGTTCAGCTAATTTCTGCTCGAGTTGTTCTGCTTTGTCGAAGGCATTTTCTTTTTCTAACTTCATTGCTTGCATTTTCTTCTTTATCGCTTCCATCGTGTTTGTCGCCATTCTCTATATTATTTATGTTTAATTTGTTTGAAACAAATAAATTTTATTTTTATTACTCAATCGCGTGTGTGCAAATTTATTTTTAACGTTAAACTATCTGACGACGATGTCTAAGTTCTGCAACACAAGAACTTAATGCCGGCAGGCGAGATTGATGTAAGTCTGAATGTAACGATGTTTGAATGAATGCAGTTGAAAGTAAAATTGCGATGTAGCCTCTTTCACAGACTTGTGTTGAAACTTGCGTGCGTGCTTACTGTGGGTTGAAACAATAAAATCCTTTGAATCGGATTTTATGTTAAGTATATTCATTTAGAATAACAAATTCATAGTCGTACATTTATTTTTATTTTAAAAATTAACATCAGTACAATTTTATAATTTTAAATAACTTTTAAAAAGTTCAAAAATTCAGACGTAAACCTTCACATGCATTTTTAGTTACATCTGTATTTACAACAGTGTTAGTTTGTTAGATAAAAAAAATGTTTTCTAGAACTATATTGAAAATAAGTGAACTTTGATTTTGGTAGTTTTTCAACTATATTTAAATGAAAGCATACTGGCGAGGAACCGTAAATAATTTTTTCAGAAAATTTTTTATGTACAATTTGTAAATATTTTTCAAGATTCAATCAAATAAGACTGATGATTAACGAAAATTTTTGAAGTCGAACGCAGTCATTCATTCCAGTTGAGTGGCCAACGCAGATGAAGCAGATCCACTGGACGACATGGTCGTCTTGGAAGAGATTATTTTAAACTTTTCCAGAGATTCTTCTTCGTTCCTCGAGCCAGGTAGATGATCTTGCGAGAGGCCAAACAAGTATGCGTGGTTCATTATGACATCGACGGCATCACTTCGTCCAATCTCAATCAGCTTATCAACCAGTGTTCCCATCGTTGCATTTTCATCTGATTTGCACCAACTCGTTAAAATCCTGTCTGTCTTGCTCAATGATTCGTTGTTTTGGTTCTCAATGTCTTGTATGCTGTTTGACTGACCAAGTATTACCGAAAGCAGGCACCAATCTTGACCGGTTGGACTTGGGGGGTCCAGTATTGAAGCTAGCAGACGTTTCAAACCAATGGGGAAGCGAGAAACTGGCAACTCTGGACCGGGAATCATTTTATCGTAGATGTACCTTGAGCCGAACGCGAGAATATCAATAAGATACTCACCTTCGTCTTTTTCATTAAAGGCTGAATCGCAACTCGTAGATTTCTCTAAATCAAATTTCGGTTTTGCAGCCACGCATTCATTTGTACTTTCACTCTTTATTACACTGTTGGAGGTATTGCTGAACGATTCTTTACACGATAGACAAACGTTGTAACTGGTAATTTCTTTTAATTTCACTTTATCTTTATTGAACTTTTGAGCTACCAGAATATTTCTCGGAGGATAGGCATCTATAAACTCCTCGCTAGTGAACTGACTCAAATAATATGGACTCAGGTAATAGTATTGAATATCCAGAGATGGGCAGCATGTCTCTATCGCGGTGACTACGATGTTGCAGGTGTCTGTGAAAAAGTAGAACAGGTCTGCATCCGTCTCTCGCTGACCTCGACCTTTCAACTCCACGTACTCTCCACGATTGTCCAGTTCAGCAGTTGCCACAATTTCTAAATTTTTTTTAAAACATTTGAAACCATTGTGCCAAAATTGAATTTGTGGAATTCTTTCCTCGTCTTCATCCGTTCTGATTTTCAACTCCTTCAAGTTAGAATTATTGAAAGCATTTGTTTCGATTTCGCAGAGTCTTGCACAACTCTGCCTTAGTTTTGTTTGTATTCTTGAAAAAATATACTTCAACTGGCATTTGGATGTAAGTCCATAGAGGTACAACCTGACCCCTCCAAACACACCTTCACCTTCTTCCTCTCCAGTCATAAACCGAACATCCGTAAAATCCCATATGTCTTTTATGGGCGGTTTCGCCAAACAGACCAAGCTAGTTATTTCGTATTCAACATCGTCGCTATTGAGTTCATTTTCTAGCACTGAACAGATATCAAGAGCTCTCAGGATGTCAACGTACCCTTCCAAGTCACCGCAGCACGTTCTGAACGGACGCGTTATGAGATCGCTCCTACTGAACAATCCGTCACTAACGACATCTGTCAAATGACTTTCCAAACTTAAAACTCTCCCGATCAAATCAGTTCCCAGCCAACGAGGATTAATAACCACCAGGTTGTCATCACTGTCTGGAATTTCAAGAAATATCACCTGGAAAAATGTAAAAATAATAATTAAATAATTAAATCACAATTAATTCTGAATTTATTTCTAGTTTTTATTGCTCAACGTCGTTAATTGTTATAAATTCTATTTCGTTAACATATTGAATATTATTTTTAATTATTAAATTTTCTTTCACTGAAATTAATTTTTATATTATAACGCAAAAACCGTTACCTCCCCGGTCAGCTGCAGCATATAGATGAGCTCCTTCAAATGCTCCTCGCACGCTAGCACGTTGACGCTCTGTCTGATGTAATCCTTGAAGTTGTTCCACGTCACAACTGGGAAGGAGAGAAGGTTTCTCTGCCAAACAGGAAGCACTTCAACTGTTTCTTCAAAGAAATGTGATGTTCCTGGAATGTGCTGGTGATAATTTGTCACAAAGATAAACTTAAAATTTTACAAAATCAGACATTTCATTCCATATTATTTAAACTATATAGAGATAAAGTTATAGTTTGTAGGAAATCAAGCGTGAATACTCACATGTAAAATGCCTGCTTTGACTTCTTGAATAGCCGATCTCAAAGTTTTCATCTCAGGAGATTGGGGATGGTTGCTGTCAACATAGATGACGGAAGGGTAGATTGAAAAGTCCCTCGAGAACGTGGACACGACTTCGAAATGAAGAGCGTTAAACTTTTTGCGAGTCTCACTATTTGGCATTGTCAGTCTGTAAGCGTGAGTGGCTACGATGATCACGTGAGCCGGATACATTGACCTGCCCATTTTTCCTGTTGATCAATTTTTAAAAATTATAAATATAAAATAGCAAAATTTTTCAAAACATGTTTAAATTTAAAAATAAATTCAAATAAAGTTTTACCTAATGGTTCAATGACAGGCAAGCGAATTTTTATAAAGTCTAGCCAGAAGCAGATTTGTTTTAGTTGTTCTTCGTGACTGTCTCCACATTTAATTAAAACCAGGTGAATGCAGTTTGGATCGCCGATGAAGTTGTCGTACGTTACGTAGTAAGGTTCGTATCCGGAGAACTCCCACACGCTCATATCTCCGACGCCTGCAAATGAACATTTTCAATTTTCAAAACGTGGTTAAACTATTAAAATAATTCAATATTGTCTATATTTGAGCGTTTTATTTATCAATCAAATTTGCTATAATTCAACTATATTTGGTTTGGTAAAATGAAGAGTTTTGAGTCATAAATGTTTAAAATGAGAAGAGCTTGTGTACTTGGGATGTGCATCTGGTTGATGGATATCCCTCTCGTGTACTCTTCGTGGGTGGGTGCCTGCACGGGTATCCTGGCTACTGCTGATTTGTCTTTCTGAGTTGGTTTTCTCGTTGAGTCTGCTCAGAAGAATGACATAATAATTTATTTTATAAACTTTCTAATATGAAATAATTCAATGAAATAAATCAACAAAAATAAACGAAGCAGTTCGAACTCCTAGTGATTTTCATTCTTGAGAGGTTAGGGCTGGCCTTATTCTTTGTGACATTTCCAACGACGCTTTTAGGTTCCGTGTTGAAATTTGACGAAGAGTGTGCTCGATCGTGACTTTCTTTGTGACTGTGTACGTTTTCATGGTGGCTGAAACTTCCAGTTAGTCCCGCTCTTCTCAGGATACTTCCGAGGACTCCGCACTTCAGGGACTCCGAGAGAAATGTTTTGCCAACCCCACTGTTTCCGAAAATTTTCATTTTAATGCAGTTGATTTTTACGGTGTTAGGCATAAGTTGGCGCATCAGTTGGCCTTGTTTTTCCTGCAAAAGCAATGTGGTTTTGCGAGTTTGCAGTGAAAGAAGTTGAGCAAAACTTTTTACCTGAACGCTAAAAAGAAGATCAGCAATTTCGTTGTGGCCTTGTGCTGTTGCTAAAACTGCAGCCGTCACTCCGCTCTTGGTTTGTATTTCGAATTATTTTTTAAATTTGAAAAGTTTTGTAAAATATTGAAAACCGTTTGAAAACATCTTGAATTACTTAAATGTATGTTTTATATTTGGAATTTTAAATGAATTTAAGTGAAAGATCTTGAAAAATAGTTACCTCGTTGGTTTGGTTGACGGGCGCCCCAGAGAGCAACAAACATCTGACAGCTTCTTGGTGGCCTGTCCTCGCTGCTACATGCATTGGTGTCGAACCGCTCTGCGTTCACAGGCATTTTTGAAAAATAATTTTTTGACAGCAGTTTGGAACTTCAATTTTTTTTAGTTTAATATTTTTTCATAATTCACATTTGTTAATTCACTATTATTAAATTGTACTTGAAATGAAAATGTTTAAAAGTTATTTTCTAAAGTTCAAGTCTAATTTTTACAATTTTTTTTCAAAAAGCAAGATCACCTTATTGACAATATCAACTTTGCATCCAAAGGCACACATATTCTGAACGACCGGAACAAGGTTGTTGTAGCAGGCTGGATGGAGTGGGGTCTCTCCCAGTTGATCGACGACATCCAACTTGCAGCCAGCATGCAACAGCAACATGGCCACTTCTGGGTGGTTGCGGCGACAAGCGATGTGCAGAGGCGTACATCCGTGCTGTCGTTGTTCAATTCATTCGTCAGCATTTGTTCAATAAAAACTAGTATTTTGTTTAATATAAAATTTCTTTATTGATTAACAAAAATAACAACGGTGAGGAAGATGATAAAAAAAAATTGACGTTGTGAAAATATCTACAGCGTGGACAAACTTTGTCCAGAATGTCGACGTTTGCTCCGGCATGGATGAGAACCTTGGCGCACTCCATGTTGCCTCTGCAGGCCGCAAAGTGGAGAGGGGCCTCGTTCTCCTTTCAAATATTATTTGTTACTGAGATTTATTTGTAAGTAGAAATAATATTTGAAAATGTAAACAGCTCAAAAGGTAGAAAGACAAAAAAATTACAACATGAACAATATTTTCAACAGATAGTTTGAAAATTAACAGACGTTGTTTTTGGCATTGAGGTTAGAGTCTGAGTTGCAGAGGATTGAACATAGCTCAGGACTCTGGCCGCTCCAGCATGCTATGTGCAGTGCGATGTCACCGTGCTGTCAATTTATTTTTTCTCTTAAATTTTGTGGAACTTTATTGCAAAAATAAAATAAAATTTATCTAAAAATAACACTTTAAAATAATTATTAGTATAGTGAAGAGTGTAAAGTTTGCACTGTAAACAAATTATTATTCACGGTTAGAATTAAATCAAAGCCTATTCGAACAAATTGCCTAGCGCATTGCTTGGAAAGCACTTTGCGTGTATATATATGTATGTGTGTGTGAGAGTGTGCCTATGTATGTGTGTGTTACTGACTTGCCTATTCAACGTTATATGACGAGACCCTTGCAGTGTCTCAATAGACAGTGTTTCAAAGTTGTACACGCATTTCATTCACGAATTTCATATAGCTAGTTATTTGAACACACTCACAGTTATGTACATTGTACAGTTAAATAAAAATTTTCATTCAACCGGCAAGCCAATCGAAAAAATTATTTAATATAAATCAAAAAATAAACATTTCAGTTTAATACACAGTCAGAATTTTTGAAAATATCATATTAAACAAATTTGAAAAAATTTAAAAATCAAGAGAATAAAAAAAATGTAACTTTATCTTGCAGGTTAACATCAGCCCCTTCCGAGCACAAGTACTCCAGTGCCCTTGCGTGGTTGGCTTTCGTTGCCAGGTGCACTGCGGTTTCACCCTCCTTCCAAACAATTTTTAAGGTTTTATTCAAAAATTTGAAATTCATACAGGATCAACAACTGCAGAATCGCATAATATTTTTTTTTACTAAAAGTCGGAGATCTGTCCTGGGAGATAGGTTTGCAAAAACTCTTTAAAACTCCCTACAAAAACTCACAACATTCGATTGAAACACAATTTTCATTACTATTACACACACAATTTTGAGTTAGAGTTAGAGATTCTGCACCTAACACTAGAACGAATCAGTT